CATTAAATTCCAGTGAAATATATTTATGTTTGTGGTTGTAATGTGACAAAATATGGAAAAGTTCAAGGGGTATGAATACTTTTGCAAACCACTGTAAATACTTGTATCAAAACATTTCAACTCGTTACAAATGAGTTTTGTTTTTTTACTTTGTGCTGCTGAAACTGAATCATTACAGGTCATAAATGTCTCTGTTTAGTTCAGATTAATGAATGTTTGTATGTTTAATATAAAACTGAGCTCCATTAAAACAACAGGTGGGTGAAAAGCTCTCCCAGAGGATCCTGACCTGCTGACGTGCTTCACTCTGAAATCATTTCTCCTCTTAACCCAGAGTTTAATTAGCACAGAGTGCTGCGCCACAGAAAAGTCCCAGGCCTGTTTGTGTTGTTGTGTGTCAGCACAGGAGCTTTTCATTAAGACGTCTTTAACTCTGCACACATTTAACAGCTCACAGCTCTGAACCTGAGTGTGTCTGTCACATATTCACAAGGCTTTTGTTTCTGGATTTATTTATTTCACCATATTATCTCTTCTCCAGCTGTTCTGTGCACCCACACACAGTTTGGTTCTTATTTTTTTTATTTATTTTTAGCATGCTTTCTTCAAATGTTTTTTTATATTACTACTTATTTACGTTCTAGACATCACATATAAAATTTATTCTTAGTTTTTAACATTTTGCTGTGAAATACAGACAATTTCTGCCTATTTTTAAATTTATTTTCTGTGTTGCTGACTTTTAACCTCCTTAAAACAATAAAAAAAATTTCTCTTCGTTGCTTTCCCCATTGTCTTCCTCTTCATTCCAGTTAGATTAGAAACACAGTTGTCAGTAAAAACCTGTCTCATGTGAAGCAGGAGAAGAAAACAGATGTTTGAGTAGAAATCTTTTGATTTCATACCTTTTTTTTATTAACATGAACCCTAAATTAAGTCATCTGTGAGCTGAAGTCACCAGAAATAGACTGCTCATTATTTCCTTTATTTTTTCTGAAGCTTCAGGTTTCAGACAGACACAGTTTGGGTGTTTGCGCTCGCTTCAGACAATTTGTATGAACAAGTTCCCTTTCAGGCACAAAGCAGACGTGACTCGGTGAAGCAGGTGAAACGGCTCATGTTGCTCCTCAGGACTCACTTTCTCCTGTTGTCCTCCTTCAGCAGGTTCATGCAGACACTGTTGAACCTGTTTGTGTTACAGCAGACAGGTCAAGCTGCACGTTTGAGTTTACACTGACTTGATGCTAAATCTGTAGTTTGAATAAAGAGCCCGCCCCAAGTGTTTGTCTTCTGTCAGAGCTGAATATAAATAGTGAGTAAGTAGAAACTGTTTGCAGAAGCGGTTTGGTTCTGTCAGTAGTTAACGAACTCACGGCGGTCTCAGGTGACACCGGGACACTGGACCTCAGAAACAGAGCCGGCCTGCAGGAGGGCAGACGGGTCAGCACAGCTCCAGCAGCTACAGGTAGATCATGTGCCATTTCAATGGTGCGAGTAGAGGAGGGGGGCTACTGTCCATCCACACACAAAGCTCAGGGCCGGGACCCCCTTCAGAGTTACTGCATAGTCCTCTTCTCCTCAGTCTAATGTTACTGAGGAATTTAATGGTTGCCTGTCAGCGTTATAACTCCATGATGGATGGATGTTATAACTCCATGATGGATGGATGTTATAACTCCATGATTGATGGATGTTATAAC